ATGGTGGTTAGTGCCAGGAAGAGGAAAAAAAAAAAAAAAAACTGGTCACAATGGTCGTGATGAATCGGGGAGGTGAGCTGCTTTAGAGAATGAATTGGGAACACGAAACTTTAATGAGGCTATTTTTCAGCTGACCACTGAGAAAATCCTGAGTAAGAGAGTTCTGCCAGAGAGAATAGTACATGCAAAGTTTCTGTGGCCAGAACAAGATCAGGCTGTTAAAGAACACCAAGCCACTGTGCTTCAGTGGAGTGAACCCACGGAGGTGGAGATGAGGTCAGGGAAGACCACGTAGGGCCTTGTGGAGGAGTATAGATAAAATTCCAAGGCCGAGGACTTCCCTCGTGGTCCAGTGGCTAAGAATCCGCCTGCTGGCTTAGTTGCTGTGGAGCAACTAAGCCAGTGTGATGTGCCACTACTACTGAAGCCAGTGCTCTAGGGGCCCTGCTTCCGCAACTAGAGTAGCCCCTACTCGCTGCGACTAGAGAAAGCCAACACTCAGCAGTGCAGGCCTAGGGCAGTCAAAATAATTTACAAATTTTAAAAACAATAGAATAAAAGCTCCAGGGCTGAGATGAATGACTTTGGAGGGCATTAGGCTGGAGTACTACTAATGGTGGTGGGGGTTTAGTCACTAAGCCATGTCTGACTCTTTAGTGACCCCATGGACTGTAGTCTGCCAGGCTCCTCTGTCCATGGGATTTTCCAGGCCAAGAATACTGGAGTGGGTTGCCATTTCCTCCTCCAGGGGATCTTCTTGACTCAGGGATTGAACCTGCAACTCCTGCATTACAGGCAAATTCTTTACTGACTAAGCCGCTAGGGAAGCTTAATAATGGGTCTATGGATTAAATGAGCATGTCAGTCCTGTGGAAGGAAATGAGGACTAAGAATGGCAACACCACTTGCCTGAAAAAGTACAGCATCAAACTTCACACCTTAGAACACTGTGTTGCTCCCAACACCTGTCTTCTTGTGTAACCCTCACCCTTCCATTTCAGGGACAGGACATAGACTTTCCAACATCTGGTGGTGCAGAAATTGCAGCAGAACTATGCATGTACCTCAAGCTCCCACTCTTGGTTCTACTTTCAGGATTGGGTCCCCACCTTCTTCCAGTCCCAGGGACCTGGTCCTAATAACCATTAATAGAGCCCCGATCTTCACGTACTTCTTTTAACATGCATTGTCTTCATTCCCATTGGTCGTCTTTATTCCCGTTTTGCTATTGAAAAGACCCAGGGTAGATCACAGCTCCTAAGCGGCTTTTTAACCCAGGCTGGCTGCTAAGGTGTGGGCGCTGCCCGGCCTGGCCAGGTTTCAGGTAGTAAGGCAGCCTGGGACTTGCTCCCTGCAAGGGGCAACAGCGCCAACCTCCTCACCTTCAGGCCACGGAGAAAGGAAGCAGCGAGCATGAAGCAAGGCTGCCACCTTGTGGTGGAGATCGGTAACTACAATGTCAGTTTCCCAGAGCACAGCCTGGAGAAAGCGGCCGGGGGTGGTACCACACCAGGACAAACCACACAGAAGACTCAGATCTGTCCCTAATACTTTATTAGTCACCTATAGGCCTGTTCTCAGTTATGTGGGCTCCAAGGAGGGGGTCACCATTCACCAGCTCGCAGCTGGGAGCTTGAGAAGGACTTGGCCTAACCCTCTGTGGTCATGGACTGTGGAGTCTGAAGGAGCAGGTCCGGCATTTCCTGGGTCAGTACAGGACACAGGTAGGGGCCTAGAGGCGGGCCAGGAGCCCAGGCGTGCCACCATCTGCCAGCCTAGTTGTGTTTGGAGAAATATTCCTTGCTGTCGTCCACGTTGGGCTTGATCGTGTCACTGCCCGGTGTCCAGCCAGCGGGGCAGACTGTGGAAAAACAGGGATGCACATGTGAGGCTTGAGTGCCATGTTCAAGGGAGAGCAGTAGTGAGGGGACAGAGAGAGGCCAAGAGCATGAGCTGCAGAAGCAAAAGCCTAGAGCCAAGTGGTCCAGGCCTAAGACCATGCTACATGATGAAAGAAACCCTCCGCGCTCAGCCGCAGGACTGTCTGACATTTTTGGGGGGGCTGTACCTCAAGGCATGTGGGATCTTAGTTTTCCGACCAGGGATTGAACCTGTGCCCCTCGCAGTGGAAGTTTCAACCACTGAACTGCCAGGGAAGCCCTTGTTTTATTTTTTGGCCATGCCGTGTGGCTTATGGAATCGTAGTTCCCTGATCAGGGACTGAACTGAGGCCCTTAACAGTAAAAGTTTGGAAACCACTGGACCGCCAGCGAATTCCCTGGCTGATATTTTAGTTTCTTTCCGACTTCTTGAATCACATCTTTCTCTCTTAGCCCCTGCCCCAGTGGACTTCAAGGGCCAGTGGCCTTCACAGGAGAAGATAACTCTGATCCAATTAACATTCAAGCCTGCCTTGGTACAGGCCTTCTCAAATATCTTCTGTAGAGTTCTATTACCTCCCCAGTTATCTGCCCTTATACTGGGGTAGTATCTCCCCCACCAGACTAGAATTTTCTTGCAGACCTTGAGCTGAATCTTCTCTGGGGCCCTCACATCCAGCCCACACAAGTGATAGCGCAGGCCTTGAATATATGTGTGCATGACACAGGGGCCGTGTATGTACCCACGTGTGGACACATGTGACTGGGTGTGTCTGCTCACCTTCCCCATGCTCATCTGTGTACTGGAAAGCCTGGACCAGCCTCAGAGCCTCATCCACGGAGCGTCCCACGGGCAAATCATTGACGGTGACCTGGCGAAGGACACCCTTGCCATCGATGACAAAGAGGCCCCTGAGATATTGGAGTTCACAGTGAGGAGCCGGGGCTGCCGCTGTCAGGACCCGGGGAGGGAGCACAGACACCCTGCTAGCCATAGGGTGAGAGTGGTCCCCTCACCCTGAGGATGGGGGCTTCCCGAGGTTCCCTCAGTACCTGTAGGCGACCCCCTCATCTTCCTTCAGCACGCCATAATCATTGGACAACTTTCTGGTTACATCAGCCAGCAGGGGGATGTTCAGCGGGCCCAGGCCTCCCTCCTTCCGGGGAGTGTTGATCCTGAGGGTGGGGGAGAGAAGGTTGGGACCTCAGGATGGCTGGTGCAGCAGGGTCCCTACCCTGTGATAAGGGCCTGGGTGTGATAAGGGCTGGGAAAGGGGGTGCTGGAGGTGAGAGATAAGGGGCCTGAGAGCAAGTCCCAGGGAGCCTGGCCCACCCCACCCTGAAGTGGGTGCAGAGGCTGCTTCCCACAGCTGGGGAGACTAAGCTAATACTCTAGCAAAGTGACTTCACATGTGCAGCAGCAACGGAAGGCAGAGAACCTGCCCTGAAGTCCCCATTCTCCTCTTTCGAACTCTTAAACTGGAGTTTCCACCTGGCTCAAATAGTTCTTGAGAGGGAAGCTGCATTGCCCTGACTGAGAAAAAACATTTATCAATCCCTATGCCACAGAAACTACTTTCCAAAGGTTAATTACTGTCATTATCATGAAGGACTTGGGAGTCACCCTCCCCATTATTTTCTTGCTGGGAACCGGATACGCAGAGGTTGCCCATTGAGCAGAACACACAGCTGGGGCCCTGGAGAGGTGTAGGTTTAGCTGCACCCTCCCTCCTTGCTGGTGATCTGCATTCCTACCAAGCCAGGTGGGTGAACTGAGAATCCACGGAGACGCCCAGCACCTCGCAGTTCAGCTTGTGGAAGTCCGCAGCACGGTCGCTGAAAGCTACGATCTCCGTGGGGCACACAAAGGTAAAGTCCAGCGGGTAGAAAAAGAGGACCACGTACTTCCCTGGGGTGGGAAGAGACGAGGAGTTGGGGCTCTGGCCCTCTAGGGCCTGTGCCCCGCCCCCCACCGCGGCGCCCATCCAGGCCCTCACCTTTGTAGTCTGAAAGCTTCACCTCCTTGAAGGCGCCATCCACCACCGCGGTGGCCTGAAATTCCGGGGCGGGCTTTCCGAGGTGCGCCTTGCCGCAGGCCATGACTGAAAGCTGAGACCCCCCCCCGCCCGCCCCACCCACGGCGGGTCAGTGAGCTCTGGACGACCCTTTGTCTTCACTTCCCAAGGTCACGCTGCATATCCGGCCGAGTTACCAAGTCAGAGTGACGGAGACACTTGCTGCCCTGCCCCGCACCCTCTCCGGGACCAGGTCGGCGCGGCCGGGAGACTTTAGGAGACCCGCCCACCTGGACAGCTAGGGCGGCCGGGCTGCTGCCGCCCGCTCCCCAGTTAGCGTGTCGGCCGTAGCGCGATCACGCAAGCCCACTCGCCCAGGAGATGTCGCAAGTTGGGGACGGGGAGCATGGGGATGCGGCCGATACTCCAAGGTTCTGGCCTCTGTTTCCCGCCCCCCACCCCCACTCCCACTCCCGCAAGGACAAAGGCAGCCGCCAAGGCGGGCGGAAAACAAAGGCCGCAGACGCTGAGGTCTGGATTGGGCCTGAGCTGCTCCAAGGAGGCCCACCCCGTAGCCCGATGCACTCCCGGTGTCCATACCTGCGTGGGTAAGGGCGGGACGCACCAACTCTCGGATGCACGGACTTGATTTCGCAGGGCCGAGCGAGCCTGGGCCCGCGTCGCCTTTTATAGTCGGCCCGAACCATGACGCCTAGGGCGCGGGGAGGTGGGCGGACTTACTGAGCGGTCGGGTCCACTGCAAGAAGCTCAGGGGAGGGGAAGCGGAGCCGGCCGCGACCACGCGCCCCCGAGTGGCGGGGGGTGACGCGCAGCCTCCGGCCCAGACCACTGCACCCGACCGCGGGGGGTGATGCGCGGGGGCTCCTCTTTGGAGCGCGCCGGGGTCGGTTGGAGTCCGGCATGGCCCGGAGCCAGGCGGCACTGCTACTGCCGTCTCTGATGCTCCTGCTGCTGGTGACCCCTGCCCAGGTCTCCCCCGACTACCAGTACTTCGGCCAGCAGGGCGAAGGGGACACCTGGGAGCAGCTGCGGCTGCAGCATCAGGAGAAAGGTAACTGCAGGCCGCGGATATGACAGTGCAGAAAGGAGCCTCATTTGCCACCACTTCACCAACTGGCTGCAGATAGACCCTCCTCCAGGGACTTCAAGTTTCTGCCTTGCTGAGCCCTGGGGGTACCTCTTGGGCTGGTTACTTTGGCTTAGTTTTCTCATCTGTAAATTAAGATAGTGTCTTTAAGCAGTTTACACGGTGAGAGGGGAGTGGACAGGCAATAAACACCAACGCAGACGTGTCCATAAATTCATGGATAAGTGCTGAGAAAGGCGGAGATAGAGAAGGCAGGGCGCATGTAAACTTCTAAAGTCAGAGAAGGCCTCCTGGCTGAAGATAGGTAACCAGTGCAGCCGGAATGACAAGCAAAAAGCCCCAAAAGCGAAGATTTAAGGGGAGGAGCGCGCCAGGGAGTCGGAGCAGCAAGTGCCAAGATGGAAAGAGGAATGGAAAGAGGGCAGTGTTGTCTGGCAGAGACTTGATGAGGGCATGAGGTGTCAGGACTTTCTGAGCCCCAGACTTGAGCTAAGACCTGTCAGCTAGGGCCGTAGGGAAGAGTCTGTAAAAGAACAGTTGTAAAGGGCGTCTGATAAATGTAGCTGCTTTAAAAGTGGTCAAGATAATTGTTTTTGTATTCGTGCATAGCCAGGGGCTTTAAGTACCTTCATTATGCTAATTATGTCCTTTAATTTACCACCTGGTAACACCGCTGGTCAGGTGACACTGGACTTGTTGGACCGGCTTGTGATCACACCCTTGTAGGGAGAAGTCACCTTCAGACGGTGGCCACCATGTGTGTTGTACCACACCCCCAACTGGACAGGCAGGCACAGATGGGAAGTGTCATTTGGCAGCCCCTCTGGGCCACTCACCAGATGTGTGAGCTTGGAAAGGTGGGTTGCTCTTCTTAGGGTTCAGTTTCCCCACCTGGGACTAGTGGGAAGATTAGAGATCATCTGTGTCGGGATAGGTGGCAGACAAACATGGCTGAGCAAATATGCTGTTGTTCAGTCGCTCAGCCGTGTCCGACTCCTTGCGACCCCACGGGCTGCAGCACGCCAGGCTTCCCTTGTTCTTCACCATCTCCGGAAGTCTGGAACTGTTATTTGTTAGTATCTTTCTCTTCCGCCCTCCTTAGAATGGGGGGATATAGGTTCCCCCTCTACCTGGCCCTCCATCCCTAGAATTGGAAGACTCTGTCCTGGGCCCTTGGGGAAAGTGGCGCTGTTTCTGCGACCTGGGCAAGCAGGAGCGCAGCCGCGAGGTTGTGGGCACTTCGCCGGGCCCGGTGTTCATGGACCGCGAGAATCTGGTGCAGGTGCGACCCTGCCGGCAACGGGATTGTTCATCCTGCGAGCCGAACGACTGCGACTGGAGGCTCTGAGCCCGGGTGAGCAGCGGGCGTGGAGGAGGCGCCCCCCGCCCGCGGCGGGCTGGCTTGTCCGGGGCCCTGAGTCCCCAGGGTGGGAGGGGACAGAGGAAGGGCTGTACGTGGGGGCGCGGGTACGAGGCGGGCATCGGGAAAAGGAACACTAAATCTGGGGCTTGGGCAGAGCGTGGGAAAGCAGAGCTGAGTCAGGAGATGCGAGCCCCGCTGATATCCGAGGAGAAAGGAAGATAGACGGTGGGGGTGGGGAGGGGAAAACGGAGATGGAGGAACAGAAACCCACAAGCTGAGGGCGTGAGCCCTGATGAAAGCAGAAAATAGAAAGATGCGTTCTTTGGAACAAATCCAGGAGGCGTGCTCCTCGCTAAGACGTGAGAAAAAGAAGGAAAAGAGCAGAGGAGGGGACGGGGGCTTGAACCCTGAGTTTGGCAGGGGGAGGGAGCCTGCTTGATGGACGAAGACTCTAAGCTGGATTCTGGAGAAGTCTGGGGTCTCTGTTCAGAGGTAGAGGAGGCTTAGCCCGAAAGAGAAGATACAAAGCGGGCGGGGGGTAGGGGGGAGGCGCTTCCGGTGAGCTACGAGGGAGTTGGGGGTTCCAAGTCCGAAGGTTTGAGTCCAGTGAGAGCCAGAATCCCTAGTATAGGGGGCTTAGACTGTGTGGCGCTCCAGGGACCTCGAACACAGGAGGGCCTGAAACCAGATGGGGGCCGGGAACTCATTGATGCGGACACCGAATTCTTGAGTCTAGTGGTATTTGACCTTCTAGGCTTCGACGGGGCTTCCCAGGTGGCTCAGATGGTAAAGAATCCTCCTGCACTGCGGGAGACCTGGGTTGGGAAGATCCCCTGGAGGAGGGCGTGGCAACCCACTCCAGTATTCTTGCCTGGAGAATCCCATGGACAGAAGAGCCTACAGTCCAAGGGGTCGCAAAGAGTCGGATACGACTGAGCGACTAAGCACAGCACAAGCTTTAATGAGGTCGAGTCCTTCAAGTCTCCCCCTCAATTTCCCCTTTTCTGCCCACTAGCCGCGGCGGGAGGCGCTCCAGAGACACCGGGGCGGAGCTTGGAAAGCGACACCGCCCACCCGGTTCCCCAAAGGCGGAGCTCCCTGGTCAGCCTCGGAAACTACAATTCCCAGGAAGCTGCACGGCAGCGGCGTCGGCGAAGGCTGCGCAAACGTCAACGGCGGCTGGCGCGTTGGGGGCGTGTCCTGCGTGCCGATAGGTCGGGAGCTGGCCCTGCTGCGGGGCCCGCGGAAAACGCGCGGAGAAACCTTTCTTTGCAGACTTCGTTACTACGGCTGGTGGCGGCGGCCGAGGCGGCATGGATCTCAGCGAGCTGGAAAGAGACAATACGGGCCGCTGTCGCCTGAGTTCGCCTGTGCCTCCTGTGTGCCTCAAGGAGCCCTGCGTCCTGGGCGTCGATGAAGCGGGCCGGGGCCCGGTGCTGGGTGCGCCCCCGGGGCCGGGTGGGGGAGGGGCGTGATAAGGGGGATGCAAGTTGCAGTGTAACCGGGACTGGAGTTGCACCAGACTCTGGGGAGGGGAGTGATAGTGGTGATGGCGATGGCATTGGTTATGGCACCGAAAAAAAAGCGGTGATGATGGAATAGAGGTGGCGGCTTTCACGAGCTCACTGGACTCCCTTTTCCCCAGGCCCCATGGTCTATGCTATCTGCTATTGTCCCCTGTCCCGCCTGGAGGATCTGGAGGCCCTAAAAGTGGCAGGTGAGCACTGGGGTCCGTCTTGGGAGGGGGTTCCTGTGCATGGGCACGGGTGGGTGTAGGCTAGAGGAGGAAAGCAGGAACTGGGAGAACCAGCCCCTCCCCTTCTCTCCCAACCCTCCTCCCAGACTCAAAGACCCTGTCGGAGAGCGAGCGGGACAGGCTCTTTGCGAAAATGGAGGAGGACAAGGACTTTGTGGGCTGGGCACTGGACGTGCTGTCTCCAAACCTCATCTCTACCAGCATGCTTGGGCGGTGAGGGGTCCCGAAAGATTGGGGGGGTAGGGAGGAGGGGCAACCAGAGTGGGTTGGAAGGGATGGGTGGCTGGAACGAAGTTGACTGGGTTCTGTCCACCACCACAGGGTCAAATACAACCTGAACGCCCTCTCTCATGATACAGCCACTGGACTAGTGCAATTTGCGTTGGACCAGGGTGTGAACGTGGCCCAGGTGAGCTAACTGTCGGATTGCCCCCATTTGATCATCTCAGGATAAAATAGGAGTGTAGGGGGAAAAAAAAATAGGAGTGTAGAAGTGCAGTGGATGACTCTGCATCAGACATACCTAGAATATCTCAGGAATGTGCGTCACTGCTGCTGACATCCTACTGTTTTTATTTTATTTTATTGTCTTTTTTTTTTTTGGCCACACTGCATGGCATGTGGGATCTTAGTTCCCCCACCAGGGATTGAACCCACACCCACCCCTGCATTGAAAGCATGGAGTCTTAACCACTGGACTACCAGGGAAGTTCCCCCAACTGTTTTTTCTACCCCAAATGTTTGCTCCACTGAGGACCATTGTGGAGCCCCCAGCCTCACCCCCATCTAATCTCTCTCTCTATCCTAAAAGTTCAGTATCTAGAACGAATCCTACATGTTTGCTTGCTCCATCCTCTTCCAGCCCCCTCCCCTACCACGTGCTCCCCACACAGCAGACAGTCATTTATATTTTTGGAATGTAAATCTTGACATTTAATTTTCTGAGCACTGTGGGAATTAGGAAAACTCACAGGCAAGTGAAGAAATGAGATGAAGTCTCCAGAGAGAAATAGAAGTTGGCACTGCAGCCAGTGCTCTGAGGCAAAGAACAGACTGTTTTGAGAGAATCAGAAGGGCAAGTACACTTGAGATAGGGAACGTAACAAGAGAGGCCTTGCCGAGGAGGTGGCTCAGGTCCAGGACTCTCTGTGCAATGCTGTGGAGACAAACAAGGACCTTTGCCTATGTAAAGAATGTGGAGCTGCCTATGCAGTGTTGGGACAGACAGACAAGGACCTTGCCCTCAGGGTTCATGACCAAGTCAGGGGAGACAGATGGGCAGCTGGTAAGCAAATAATAAAGGTGGTTTCGAAAATAATAATAGCTGTGGAGATCACTTGTCCTGTTACTTTTCTGACCCCATTTCTGTTCCAGCCGTGTGATGTCTACTGCTGTCCAGAGTACTTGGCATGGTCCGGCCTCAGGACCTTTGCACTGGCTGTTCCCTCTGCCTAGAACACTCTTAGACTTCCCCATGGCTCATTCCCTCATCTCCTTCAGGCCTTTATTCAGATGTCACCACCTCAGAGTACTTTTCCTAAAATACCCCCAAACTGTTGAAAATTATAACCTCTTCTCAGTCTCCCCGATCCTTTTTTATTGATGCTCTTTCCTGTCTCTGGCCCTCACCAGGGTATCTACTCCGGCATGCTTACTGCTGTGTCTCCAACACCTCGAACAGCCTGTGGCATGCAGTAGGTGCTCAGTAAATGTAGAATGGATATAGTGTGATCAGGGAAAGCCTCTTTGGGAGGTGATGTTTGAGCTGAGACCTCTGAGAGAAAGATGCAGCCTGGGCCTGGTCATGAGCTGAGAGAAGAATATTCCAGGCAGCGGGAACAGCAAATGCAAGAACTGTGAAGCTGGGTCATCTGCACAGTTGTTTTTTCTGGATGTTTGTTGACTGAGTACATTTCTCTCACCATGGCAGGTGTTTGTGGACACCGTGGGGCTCCCAGAGACATACCAGGAACGCCTGCAGCAGCGTTTTCCTGGCATTGAGGTGACAGTCAAGGCCAAGGCAGATGCCCTCTACCCCGTGGTCAGTGCTGCCAGTATCTGTGCCAAGGTTAGGCCCCCACTGGCCATGGCCAGCTCCCAGCATCCCCCTGGGCAAGGAGGCAGGTGTGGCTGCTTCACGGTGTCTGTTGGAGAACCCAAGTGCCTGTTTTGCCCACAGGTGGCCCGAGACCAGGCTGTGAAGAACTGGAAGTTTGTGGAGAAACTGCCGGACCTGGACACTGATTATGGCTCGGGCTACCCTAATGGTGAGCAGATGGCAGCCACAGTAAACGAACAAGGCGGGCTTGGCGTGCTTCTGAGGTTTTCTAAGTTGTTCCTCTCAGCCTACTCTGCAGCAGAAGAGGCTGAGGCTCAGATCGGGGTTCCACTTGCTTTCGAGTGGTAGCGCTGTATTCCAGCTGGCAGGCCCCTCTTCCTTCTGCCTCCCTCCCTCCCTCTCCGCTGTCTCTCTGGAGCTCCAACGAAGCACGGAGACTGGTGGTGGACCTAAGGGGCAGAGTAAGGGGTACCAGTTCCTGTCCAGTGGCCCCAGTTTGAATCCATTGTTTGTCTTCATTAAGAGGCTCAGTCTCCCTGTTTGTAAGGTGGAAATGACTGTGCCGCATCCCCAGTAAACTCTGCTGAAGGCACACAAGGGTAGAGACGATGATTCAGTGGCTGGGGACAAGGAACCCTTTGGCACTTGGGTGGGGCCACCTAGCAAGTCTGGGATTGTACCTAGGTGAGGCCAAAGGGAGGAAAACCAAGTCTAGGCCGAACACAGACTGGGCGGTGTTCATGCTTACTGGGCACCTCATATGTGCCTTGCAGAGCCAAGCCCTGGGGATTTAGCCATGAGCAAGGCAAGCAGGGACCTCCCAGTGCCCACTGAGTTGGTGGACATGGGAAAAATGGGCATTTACCTTATGGTCCACAAATGCTGGTCCAGTGCCTGTTGTCCTTGGGGAAGTAAGCGAGATGACCCAGAGGCAGTCTCCCTGAACTTCACCTTGAGCACCTGTTCTCAGGCAGAGTGTCAGTGGGAACAGCCTGTGCAAGGGTCCCGAGACAGGAAGACGTCTCAGACAGTGATGCATCCCTCGGGTACTCAGGAAGAGGCCTGAGATGAGGTGGTGGGCCCTCAAATGCCAAACTGAGAAGCACGGCAGGGCTCAGGGCTCTCCCACTGTCCCCCCGACCCTGCCCCCAGACCCCAAGACGAAAGCCTGGTTGAGGAAGCATGTGGACCCCGTGTTCGGCTTCCCCCAGTTTGTCCGCTTCAGCTGGCGCACAGCCCAGAGCATCCTGGAGAGTGAGGCAGAAGACGTGATGTGGTAGGTGTCTGGAAGCGAGGGTGAGAGGCCAGGGCTCTGCCTTGCCTGGGAGGACTGGTCCCCCAGAAGTTGGAGCCGCCACCTCTTTCCCACAGGGAGGACTCGGAGACTGGGAATCAGGAGGGACCCGGGAAGATCAAGTCCTACTTCAGTGAAAGCCCCCAAAGCTGCCCCCGCCTCCCCCATCGGTACTTCCAGGAGCGGGGCCTGAAGTCAGCCACTGTCCTCTAGAAGCCAGCCTGGACCCCCTTTACCTGCCCCCGCCACACCCGTCCCTCCTCGGTTCGTGATTAAAATTCTTCAAGGAAAGCTAAGTGTGGGGATTCTACTTTGGGATAGAAGTATGCTCTGTCTGCATCTGGACCCAGTCGCTGACTTCTGGAACCTAAACAGGGTGGGTATTGGTTGATTTAATTTGACTTTTTAAATGCCTAGTATGTTTGTTTGATGCAGAATTAGGAACCAGTACACTGAGAAGCTAAGGGCTTCCCGGTGGCACTAGTGGTAAAGAACCCGCCTGCCAATGCAAGCGACATAAGAGACACGGGTTTGATCCCTGGGTCAGGAAGGTCCCCTGGAGGAGGGTATGGCAACTCATTCCAGTGCTCTTGCCTGGAGAATCCGTAGACAGAGGAGCCTGCTGGGCTCCAGTGAGAAGGTCACAAGGAGCTGGACACAACTGAAGTGACTGAGGGTCCCACCACATACCGCACTGAGAAGCTTCCCTCCCATACTACCCTCCAGCGTCCTGGTGGACTCAATGGGGTGTCTCAGTCCTTTGTGGCCTGTTGTAACAAAATACCACAGGCTGGTGCTTTATAAACAATAGATACTTATATTTAACAGTTCTGGAGGCCGGAAGTCCAAGATCAGGGTACCAACCCAGTTGGCTTTGGGGAGGGCCCTCATCCAGATCACAGATTGCCATCTCCCTGGGTTCTCACGTGAAGGGGTGAGGAATCTGTGGGGTCCCTTTTATGAGGGCACTAATCCCACCCATGAGAGAGCTCCACCCATGTGACCTTGTCCCCTCCCAAGGTTTAAGGTGTCCTCCTTACACCTAACACCATCTTGTTTGGGGGTTAGGATTTCAACCTGAGTTTTTTGGGGGCCGTCCAAACATTCGGACCATAGCAGGTGCCTCCTAGGCCCTTCTGGAGATACCCTGGCGTGTTACTCGTGTATACACAGATACATTGTAACTGAGGTTCTGTTTTTAAACAAATGAAAACACAGTGTACCTTAGATAGTATACATAGCTGTTTTTAAAATAAATTGTCTATTATTTATGTTTTGGCTGTGGCTGGGTCTTCCTTACTATGCTTTTCTCTAGTTGGGGCAATCAGAGGGTACTCTCTAGCTGTGGAGCTTGGGTGTCTCATTGCAGTGACTTCTTTTGTTGTGGAGCACGGACTCTAGGACACGTAGACTTCAGTAGTTGCAATTTTTGGGCCCAGTTGCCCTGTGGCATGTGGAATCTTCACACAACCAGGGATCGACCCGTGTCCCCCACATTGGCAGCTGAATTCTTAACCAGTGGATGACCAGGGAAGTTCAGGCATGGCTCTCTTTACCACTTACATCTTAGGATAATTCAAATACGTGTCCAAAAGCCTTTCTTGTTCTGATAACAGCTGCAGATTCCTCTGTGGTGTGACTGTCCTGTTGTTTATTTAGCACCTCTTGATAGACCTTGAGTTGTGCCCCAGCTTTCTGTTAAACTTGTACGGCAGGGAATGACAGGTTTGCAGTCACCTTCTCACATTGCTGTGTCTGTAGAACAAATTTCCAGGGGTAGGTTTCCTGGGTTAAACGGACTGTGTGATTTCTAAGTTTTTTTGTGTGTCTGTGTGATTTCTAATTTGAAGAGATATATCCAAATTCCCTCTGTGAAGGTTTGTGCTCAGTGGCACTCCCACAAACAATGTAAGTGAGCATTCGTTTCCCTCACAGCCTTGCCAGCACCAGGACGAGTTTATCTCACTCCGTGAGAAGTTTGGAAGTCAGGAGCTCAACATTAAATACTATCTTTGTTTTTCTGTTTTTAAAAAATTTTTTTTTTTTTTGCTTCGGTTCTTGTTTTTGCCTTTTGGGTTTTTTGTTTGGGGCCCTTGGGTTTTTCCCCTTTTGGCCCAGGGGTCAGCAGCAGCAGTGTGCAGGCCTAGAGTGCAGTGTGTGGGATCCTAGTTACCCAACCAGGAATCAAACCCATATGCCTTGCATTTGAAGGCAGATTTTTGACCAGTGGACTACCAGGGAAGTTGCAAAGATGTTGTTCTTTTAGTCCATCTTCTATTTTGCTAATGTAGGTGGTTTTTGCCTCTCATGATCCCAGGATGGCTGCCACAGCTCTAGACATCACATCCCAACCTTCAAAGGCCTCATCTACAAGCAGCCACCTTTTCTCTTCCTGGCTGAAAGTAGACTGCTTCTATGCCTGAAACAATCTGTTGCCAGGGGAATGGAATATCTGGGGTAAAGGATTAAATACTGATGCCTGGGGGTAGGGAGAGACTCCGTATCTGCCCATTCTCCCAACTCTTGATCCCCAGGCACACACCTTGACTTGAACAATAGGATTTTATTTCACCCTTTTTTTTTCTTTCTTTTTTAATGTCACCTTTTTGGTGTTTTTTTGGCTGCATGGCTTGTGGGATCTCTGTTCCCTGACCGGGGATTGAACCCAGGCCACAGCAGTGAAGGCACCGAGTCCCAGCCACTAGACTACCAGGGAACTGCTGAAGAGTGAAGTTTTAGCAGAAAAGGAGAGAAAATATTGGGCTCTGCCAATTCTGTGTTGTGGCGTGTGGGATCTTTTTTGGGAGGGCTGTGCTGGGATCTGACAGTACATGGACTTCTCTAGTTGTGGTGCATGAGCTTAGTTACCCCATGGCCTGTGGAATCTTAGTTCCCCCTGGCCAGGGCACTGAGTTCCCACAGGCCGTGACCAGGTGTGGAACTCATATCCCCTGCATTGGAAGGTGGATTCTTTTTTTTTTTTTTTAAACAGGACAAATCCACACTTTTATTTATTTTCAAGAAGTTTAAATCCTCGAAGGGTACAGCATCACACAGATTCTGTGTCCAGTGGCCTTAGCAGGAAGGTTACTTTGGAATTTGGCACGAACCATGCCACTGTTTCCATGAGCTCGAGTTATCTTTCCCCAGATTACTCTGGTTTTGTTAGGTTTTCCACCAGGAGTTACTGTGTTGTTCTTTGCTTTGTACACATAAGCAAATCTCTTGCCTAGATAGAATTCAGTTTCATCTTGAGCATATACACTGGAAGGTGGATTCTTAACCACTAGACCTCCAGGGAAGTCCCAGCATGTGGGATCTTTAGTCCCAGCATGAGAGCTCTTGATTGTAACATGTGGGGTCTAGTTCTCTGACCAGGGGTCATACCTGTCCCTCCTGCATTGGGAGTGTGGAGTCTTAGCCAATGGACCACCAGCCAAGTCCCGGCTATTCACTTTAGTAAATGCTCTGATGGCAAAAAAAAAAAAAACAAACAAAAAAACCAGGGCATTGTGGGAGTATTATTTATGGAGTGTGTATTATTAGTCAGCCAAGGCTGCCATAGGAAAGTATCTTACACTGGGACACTCAACCAACAGAAATTAATTTTCTCACAGTTCTGGAGGCAGAGTCCAGGATGAAAGTGTCGGCAGGGTTGATATCCGAGATCTCTCTCCTCGACTTGTAGACGGCCATCTCCCCTCTCATCTCCTCCGTCTGTGTGTGTCCTAATCTCGACTTACAAGGACTCCAGCCCTGTGAGATCAGGGCCCACTCATAGGACTTCATTTTACCTTAACTATCTCTTTTTTAAAAAAAACAGATTTATTTGTTGATTTATTTTCTTTTTGGCTGCGCCGTGTCTGCCGCTGCACAGAGAAGCTACTCTATTTTCAGTCCGCAGAGCGCGGGCTCTGGGATGCGCCGGCTTCAGCAGTTGTGGCTTGAGGGTTCTGGAGCACTGGCTCGGTAGTTGGATTGCAGGGGCTTAGTTGCCTCACGGTGTGTGGGATCTTCCCAAAGCAGGGATTGAACCTGTGTCCCCTGCATTGGCAGGCGGATTCTTAACCACTGGACCACCAGGGAAGTCCTTTAACTGCCTCTTTAAGGTTTATCTATAAATACAGTTACATTCCGAGGTACCAAGTCTTAGGGCTTCAACATGACTTTGGGGGGTGGGTGGGCGCAACTGAGCTCTTGAGAGAACACCCCTGCACTCTCTGAGTCCTGTGCTGGACATGGGGAAGCTGGGGCTGACTAGTCACGGTCACAAGCCTCCACTGAGGACCTGAGAGCTCCTGGAGTGCACATGGGGAGGCCAGCTCCAGCCTGGAGCTCCTGGCCTGGAGCCTGAAGATCTGACTGGCTGAGATCTGAAGTGTGAGAGGGGTGAAACGATAACAGAAGGGTAAAAGCGGTTCTGGGCTGCTCTGGTGGCGCAGGTGGTAAAGAATCCACCTGCAATGCAGGAGACCTGGGTTCGATCCCTGGGTTGGGAAGATCCCCTGGAGAAGGGAGTGGCCACCCACTCCAGTCTTCTTGCCTGGAGAATCCCATGAACAGAGGAGCCTGGTGGGCTGCAATCCATGGGATCGCAGAGTCGGACCCGATTGCGCGACTTAAGTACACATGCATGCAAAGGTTGTTCTAGGCAATGGGGATAGCAAGTGCAGAGACCCCAAGATTGAGAAGATCTGGCTGCAAGAAGGCCCCAGAGTAGAGGTGATGAGGGCAGACCTTGGAAAGAGCTGGGACCACCCTGTTTTTCTGCCTAAAGACATCTATTTACTCCTCTGCCAGTGGCTATCACTGTAGTTGCAAAGTATAAAACCTGACTCCATTTGCTTTTGTTTGTTTTTTGTGTTTTGTTTTTTTTTAATTCACCTGCGAGGCTTGTGGGATCTTAGTTCCCTGACCAAGGATCAAACCCACACCCCCTGCAATGGACGCGCAGGATCTTAACCACTGGACCACCAGGGAAGTCCCAACGTGATTCAGTTTGTAATTCTGCCCTTTTCTATGCCATAAATGTTGAGTATCTCAGACTTGCCTCTTTCCCTCTCAGAATTATTAGAAGTACAGTTCATCTTGAAATCATTGGACCTCTGACTACTGATGGAATTTGGCTTGATAAGAAGGAGCAACTGTTACCCTTTTTCCTCCCAGCTGGTGACAAGCAGAAACTAGGGGGTACTGTAAAGCTGTAACTCACAAATATTTCTTCCAACAAAAGTCTAGTGGGACTTCCCTGGTGATCCAGGGGATAAGACTTCACACTCCCAGTGCAGGGAGCTTG